CCACTTCTGCTTTGTACTCAGGCTTTTGGGGCAGGTTACATGTGTTTTACTATGTTTCCTATAGCAACTGCTTTGTAGCAGCACTGGGGGCAGTTTCTCAAATGGCCCACTGTGTCCGTAGTCCCAAAAGTTTGCCTACTGTGGCAGCAGCTGCTTGAATCAGTCACAATGAAAAATATACTTACATATATTTTGCAGTTGCAGTGCCTCTGTATGGGTAGAAGAGTTTGCGATTTTGAAGGATCCTGCTTGAAGTGCTGTGAAATCCCTCAAAATCAGACATCATGGGAAGGCCCAAATAATGTTGCACAGGCCATGATGGTTCTTCAGGTACCTGAAAAGTTCTGGTACATAGTCACCAGAACCCACGTCAGCCCAACAACATAGAACTTAAAGCCACAGTTCAAGCACCAACTTCCAAGTGACAGGAGGCAAACCTCCTGAGAAGCAACACTTCATGGCTCCAAGAAAGGATGAAGAAATTGCTGGCTGCCTGTGGTTTTTTCCAGGATGAGCCCCTTCTGACGTGGAGTTTCCCATGTGAAACATACTGATAGGGGTTAGCCCCTGGCAGCTGCTGTGGTAGATTCAACCCTCAGAGGTCTGGACCCACAAATACTGTTCTCAGAGACAAAAGAGGGGCTCAGAAAACTGGCACTTGTAACAGGCCTAGAACCTACAGCATCAGTATAGAGCAGCAGGTTCACTCCTCTTCTCCCAAAGTGCACTTCCACAGAAACTCATTAGTGTTCACAGCTCCAAAGTCTAAGCTTGGTGAAAGCATCTTGTTCTTCAGGGATATTCCAAGCTCAAGCAAATGGAGCTGTTAGAGAGAATGTCGCAGCACATCATTCCCCACTACATCCGACTGATTGTAACAAAGGCATGAACAGATTGGATGCCTGTGACATTCTCCAGAAGGTTCTTTAAGAACAACACCACGGCTGATAAGTGAAATACTCCTGCAACAGCTTTAAACAACACATTAAGGATTGTTTCCCATTATTTAACCCCTTTCGACTGTTTTTGACGGATTCTTCCTTAAAAGGTATGGATTGTTCTCTATGTGTTTATTCAGAAGGATCCTTGATGAATGAGTGTCATGCTTGATAATTCTGTCCCATAATATGTTTCAAACCATTGGTGTAAGTTGTTAGGGCTGTGCTTACAGCTACTCTGGGAAGAAAGAGGAGCTTGGGAACAGGGCATGTTCTGTGAGCTACTGAAAATCAGCAAACTTCAGATTTGTAAGGTCTAGTTCTTTCCCTAAAACTCTACCAACAGGAGCCAAATGCAAATGTGCGGCTCAGGGGATCAACAGTAATTAAAGAAAAAGGTATCTCTAAGCACATACCCAGCTCAGAACTGTGTTTTCAGTTTGGAATTGACTCACAGTCCTCTCAAACCAATTTTTCTTGGCCCTGGATCCATTGATCAGCTCAGCCAGTTATTATTTGATTTTTCCCCCACTATAAAAGTAAGGTCTCTTATTTGGCAGCCATGAAGCCAATAGGAGGCTATGCAGATGAAGCGATGGAGCTTAAACAGAAAGGAGGGTTCAGTTCCCATCAATCTATGGGATAACTTCACTAAGTTGCGCTCAGCACCATTACTGGGAAAAGGCTAAGATTCGCTTCTTAGAATGAAGTTGCCATGGCTCACAGGACTTCCCAGGGCCTCCTTCCCAGGAATGGGAAATGCATCCTTTCCCCAGTGGTGGAGGAATGTCCTTACTTAAGATGGAATTTTAGGAAGACCAAGTGCAGACCCGCACAGTACAGATAAATCAATTCCATCTTTCAAATGAGTTGAACAATTACCAGTTTTAACTATGAACTCCCACACTCCCAAGGCAAACACCATGTTGCATTCACTAAGTAAGAACTACCGGAAAACAGTCTGCTGGCTCCAGGTCTCATGAGCTTGATTCCATTTTAAGTCAGTTTCTTCTAAATTTAGATGTTCTGACGCTGGTATGCAGAGGCTGCACCCACCCATTTTCCTCATCATTTACTTGCCATTTGGCCCGTCCCATGAAGAGGCACTTCATGCCCAGTGAAGCAGTGTAGAGGCTATCAAATCCCAGCTGGGGCAATCTGGTGCCATCCGGTGTCACGGTGGTCATTTTCCCCATCAGGTTTCAAGTTACCATGGGGCTTAAAACAAAAACTTGGCAGATTACCTCAGATCTTGCCAACAGGTTTAGACTTTGTGCTGGTTTCAACTCAGCATGTTTACTTCCAAGAGTGGTTCTTGTGGCGTGTAAAAGTCAGCTTTCCAGTGCACACAGCCATGAGCCTGGATCACTGGATTGTTTCTCTGCACAACTGTAGCTAAGATTTGTTGGCACAATATGGCAGTTCAATGCTGTTCTCTGGACTGGTGGCAGCTAGTCGTGATGGACCAGCTCGGCTGGCTAGCAGGGTAGCCAGTACACGCCTAGGGCCAGAACAGTCAACAGGCAGCAGCCTCTACACCATTCCTCCTGGCCCTCTCCAGCCATTTCCCTCTGTCAGAGGGCAGAACAGTTTGCCTGGCTTCTCTTGCATCCCCTCAACTTGCTACTTCCCTCAGGTGTGGTGGTGGTCACTGCCCCATTGTCCGTGTTGACATAAATTCAGCTGCCAGTCAGATCAGTTCACATGTGCAGGAGTAGACCACCTTTTTATCCTTTGCCTCAGGCCACAAAAGTGCATTGGGCCAGGCCTGTGCATCCCTCCCACCCAGAAAGAGGTAGTGACTTGGCTCCTACTGAAGAATCAGCTCAAGACCTGCTGGCTTCCATAGTTAAAGATCAGTCTCAAATTCACCATTGGAAGGTGGCAAACTGAAGGAAGCAGTGACTCAGAGAGTCCAGATATTGTTGGACACTCATTGTTCTCAATACTTTTCAGTCTGGTTTTAGGTGTTTTGGAGACAGAGACTGCTTTTGTCACCCTGAATGAGGACCTAGGCTGAGAAAAAAAAAACCAGGGAGCATGCAAGACTTTTAATTCTCCTGGACTTCTCAGCATCACCCAATGCCATCCACTGCAGCATTTTTGGACCACCTTTCCGAGTTAGGAGCTCTACCTTAGACACAGTTCCATTCCTGCCAGATGCTTTCAGGTTCTAGAAGATTCTGCCAGAAAACCGTTGCTTATTCTTTCTGGGAAACAGGCCAACCACAAAGTTGTTTTCTCTCCCATGCTTTTGAACATCTGTTCCCTAATATCAAGAGGTCATCTGCTCACCTGGACTGAGGTAACTACAGTATATTGGTGCATTCCTCCATTTCATCAGAGCCAGAGTAATCCTTGGAGAGTACATGGAGACCGAGAGGGCTGAAGGGCCTGACTTCCAATCCAGGAAAGTCTAAGTGATGATGCTGGGGGATTCACCAGCCTAGGTAGCTGGAGAAGTACCTGTTTAGGATATGATCACACTCTATTCTATCAAGCAGGCTCATCATCTGCAGACACTCCTGGACTCAGCACTGCTGCCACATTCTAAGGAGCAGCTGTGGCCCAAAGCACTGTTGATTAGCTTTAGTTGATTTTCAGGCACCAGTCTACTATTGCTGTGGCCTTGCAACCTCCAGATTAAGGTACTTTAAGGAGGGCTGCCTTTGAAAATTATCCAAAATCTCCAACAGTGATAAAAGGCTGTTCCTTGCCAGTCTATGCTGGAAAAAGCCTACCTCCCCAGTTTGGAAACATCTGTACTGTTGACTTGTTTCTATCAGCCCAATAGAAAAGTGTAGGGTTTAGTCTTAAAGCCCTTCATGGCCTATGTCCTGGCTATGTCATATGAACCCTGCAGTAGTTCTCCAGATGTTTTGATCTAAAGCTGTCATCAACTCTAGCCAGCATAGCTAATGGTGAAGGAGGATGGGAATTGTAGGACCAAACATCTGGAGGAACACAACTAGCACAACTCCTTTTTAAGGTCTACTGATTAAGCTCTGCTCCAAAACCCATCTTTCTGAAAAATGAGATTAGCTTCTACTAGGAGATGGGCCTTTTGGTCTTGGCTCTGGAGCTGTGCAACACCATTCCTTCAAGAGGCCTGTGCTCTTTGTCAGTCTCATTAAAAGGTGTACTTTTACAGTCTTTGCCTTTAAACTGTTTTATCAAATGCTCCTGCAGCTTTACATAATACTTATCACATTATACAAAAGCTATTTTGATAACTTTTATGTTAAAAGGAAGAATAGAATGCAGTAAATAAATTAATGGAAATATTTGTGTCACTTTATAAATAGGGAGAAAGATGGAAGTAATGTTTGTGCAACATAAGCAATGGCCATTTCCTCAAAATGCAATTTAATTGGAATGTCATTTTTAAAAAAAAAACCCACTGTCCTATTCTCTGTTGCATCTGCACCATGAGGAAACCACCTCCTTTATGCTGTGACTGAATGAAGAAAGCTCTTTGCCTGGGTCGCTAAATCAAGTTACACACAGTCTCCTAGGTGAGTTGGTACTCACAGAAAGGGACCTGAAGATAATACAGGTGGAGCTCATCCACCAAGCTTTGGTTGGCCGCTCCACAGGATGAGGAGTGGGCAACGTGGGACAAGGAAATGGTCCGCCTAAGCTGACCTGCTGCCTGGTGACAGCAGTCACTGGTGGGATGCAAAGGTGGTCCTGGTGGGCTTGGGCTGGGGTCCTGTTGCTACAGCCTCTGGATCTCCAGGGAAAATCATAGGCCTCACTGAGCAGACTTAGCTTTATGGGCTCCTTGCCTCGTTCTCCCTCAGTCCCCGTTGCTTACCGCTCTTTCTTTCACTATAGACATCTTTCCTTTCCTCTTCATAGATTGCAACAGACCGCTGGCCTCCTGGGGAAAGGGACTAACACTGGGAAGAGCCAGATTCCTTGCCTTGTCCCAGTGAAAAAGCACCAGGCCCTGCTGGGGTCTGACATCCAGCGACTACTATCTCTGAAAAAACTGGCAAATATTTTTCACTACACAGAAGCAAGAAGAGTTAATCTAAATAAATTTGCAACTATGAACACTTTCGATATTTTTAAATTATTTAACTTTTATTACTGTTGCACCATTGATACAATTACATATAATTTCAATGCATCCATTGTACATTTTGCATTTGTTTGTTTGTTTGTTTGTTTTTCCAATGAGTGGTGTATCGGTGTCTGTGACACAGAATGGAAGAGAAACTGGAGCGGCAATGAATGCTGACTTTTAATTTTTCATTTTCACTGACCAATAAACAGAACTACAGGTGCACCCAACCACGGACATGCATTAAACTCGTCATGAGAAATCTAGGTAGGCTAAGTAGGATGAGAATGCTTTTTTATTTTATTTTATTTTTAACTCCCAAAAATATTTGGAGAGGAAGAAGAACCGGAGGATTAGCACTGAGAAAAAATGTGGACAGCTACGTGAGTCTTGTCTGAAAGTTGCCATTCATCCACTGCATAAAAAATACAAAATGATAAAGGCTGTAAATTTAAAAAAAAAAACCCACAGAAAATACTGCTTTCGGAAAGATCTGATTGGTATGGTACTAGCCCAGAGGGCAGAATCAATTCTTCATCACTCCCAAACCCCCATTAGAGAAAAAGAAGAAAGAAAAGATCGAAAGATCAGTGGAGTGCATTTACAGCAATTCAGATACAAAAGAGAGGTACTGCACTTTCAGACTTCAGTGTAGTTTTCTTATTTTAATTACTGGTTGAAGTACAGGATTTGGATTGTGAAGTTGGCAGAAAGTATATTAGAGATATTTCCCCCACAAAAATACTATTCGGGTTTCCCACCAGAGCAACCACCCCACCCCACCCCTCCCTCCCCTCCCTCTCAAACTTAATGGGACAATCCATTTTCGTTTTCGTTTTATTTTTTTTTTTTCCTTTTTTAATTTTTCCCTGGGCAATACATATCGCTATTTCAGATCGGAAACAAGTTAGTAGAGCTGAAAACAAGAGAATTAAAAATAAAAAGAAAAGGGAAAAAAAGACACAGGTTGTAAGTGGTTAATTTTGTGTGTTTTGTTTTGTTTTGTTTTGTTTTGTTTTGTTTTGTTTTGTTTTGTTTCCCAACAGGCTGTCCAATTTAATCTTTCACTGCTATGGTTTGATCCGAATTAGTTGCTGGAGCTTCAGATGGTTTCGCTTCCTCTGGTGGGGCTGCAGGCTCTGAAGCCTTCGGAGTAGAACTAGGTGCTTCTGTTGTTGCTGGGGTCTCCTTGGAAGGAGGCGCAGCCTCGCTGCTGCTAGGTTTTGAGTCTGAAGCTGGGGCTACTTCACTTTTAGTTTCCTGAGCTGCAGGTACTGCAGGAGCCTCAGTCTTTTTGGCCTCCCCTTCCTCTTTGCCTTTGTCATCTACTTTACTAGTGGCTGTGGCTTCTGAAGGCTGGGGAACTTTTGCATCACTGCTGGACTCAGAGGGTTTAGGGGCATCACTGCTGGCTGGTGGAGGAGCCGCTGAGCTGGGTTCCTCTTGCTTGGCCACCTGCTGCTCATGGTTCTTCGGAGCCTCGGCCTTTGCATCGACCACGGCCTCGCCCTTCTCTGGCTCAGCCTTCTTGGGCTCTTCCTGGCCCCCTGCTTTCTCTTTCTCCCCTTCGCTTTCTTCAGCCTTGCTGGCATCCGCTGGGGCCTCCTTGCCCGCCGCCTCCTCCTTGTTGTTCTCCTTCACCTCCGTGGCCTCCACTGTGGCCTGCTGGCTCTGCTCGTTCTCCTTCGCAGCCTCCCCTTCCTCAGCACCTGCCCCCTCAGCCTTCTTGTCCTTGTCTTTTGCCTTTTCATCATTCACGTTGTAGCCCTTCTTCTTCTTGCTCAGCTTGCCTCCCATTTTGGAGCCCTGGAAACAAGACAGGGGAGAGCGTTAACCCCGGAAGGAAGTCCCTTGGTATCAGTGGGGAAAGCAGGGGCTCGCACGATGGAGAGCAAAGCATGGGATTTGCCACAGTAAGGGAGAATTCTGCCCACGGCAACCTTCACGAAAGCCGGGCCAGAACCACCCCCGATTTTGGCAGTTGCAGGCTGAGAAGGGCTCAACACTATAAACATCAAGAGATTTTGGGCTTCCCTCACTGTCATCATTTCCCTTAACAAGTCTGTATTCTAATGATTCTTCCCTGTTACTGATGCCTCACTTTGGAGACCTACAGAATCCCCAGGAAAGAGTAACTGATGGTTAGAGCACTTTGAATCTACAGCAGATATATGAGTGCAACAATACACCTCTCGGCGCAACTTTCCACATACCATTTGGACAGTCATATTCTAACACTTGAGTGAAACCAAAACTCCTCTCCAGAGCCCAGCAGGAGGAGCAAAAGGAATGACGCCACTCGCTCCAGGTTCAACATATACAAGTGAATTAGGATAGAAAGGTGCAACTTCCCATCCCTGAGAAATTTAACTAAATTTAATCTCCCTTCTTTTTAACATTCCTCAACATTCCCTAGAGAAGAGCAGAATGCCCAGGTACATTCTGAAAATCTAGCATCTTATGGCTGCATTCAGACTGTCAGAGAAGGCACAGATTTGCTCCATGAACCCACGGCTGTGGCCACACACTCTTAGCGCAGTTGTACAGCTCTGTGCACAGAAAGGTCCAGCTTCATCCTCAACATTTCCTGCTAAGGACAGAAAAGGATCCTGCCTGAAGGCCTGGAGGACTCTTGCCAGTGAGGGTCCCCTAGTGATCCAAAGGGGCCAAAGGTCTGGCATTTTCTATGTTCCCTTCACACACTGGCTTGGCTGCAGCGACCCTGCCTCACATCAGCGCTGCTGATGCTGCATCTGAACCAGAGCAACCTGACTTCATATCCATTAGCAAAGCAATCAGTGTCTAGGATCAGAGGCAGTTTGCTTGGGAATGCTAGGGGCTGGGGGACACAAGCAGGAAAAGGTTGGTTGCGGGCTTCCCACTGGGGGCATCCAGTTAGCCACTGTGTGAACAGAATGCTGGGTTAGGTGACTCTTTGCTGGGATTCAGCCATGCTCTCCTTATGTTCTTTTGAAAACAAACAACACAACCTGAAGGGGAGAGCTTAACTTCCACAGCTACTATAGGCCTTGGATGAAGACTGAATCACGGCCAAAGTGCCCCCTAGCATAAAGTGCTTATTCTTCCCCACATAACCTGTAACATTAGAAGAGGAACTTGCATGTGTGCATGGGGGCGGGTGGCGTGCTCTTAATAGTCTTGTTCCATTTGCAGCTTTGATACATGCAGTGGAACAAACGATGAGGACAGGAATAGGCTGAGGTATTAACCAGTCACGGAGGTATCAGAAGAGAAACTCAGAGCTCTCACCTGCAGTGACAGCTCTGAGCGCCAGAAGAGTTCAGGCGCTCACAATGCTCACTGCAGGCACAAGGGTGTGCCTCCCTTGATTAAAGAGCAGGCATTTTGATCAGCTGCTTCACGCAATGACCCTCAAGCCATGTAAACCACCTGGAAGGCAAAAGCTTCTGGACAGTGCACTGATATCAGAGTGGGATCTACACAAGCCACAAGAAAGGCCGCCAGCCCCACTCGGGTCAGGGGCACACAGTTCCCGAGGCCTAATGCCATCAGGGCCACCCCATTTCTTGCAACTGCTCATGTAGGTCACTGTGCGCTTATTATATAAAGAAAGTGACATTTCATTCATGCCCATCCAGTCACATTGCACTTCAGAGCAGTTTTGCAAATCAGCAGGAACAAAGATTTTAAACAATAGCGAGAGCCATATTTGCTTCCAAATAGCCAATCCCTAATTAAGCCTTCATTTGTTTGCCTGGCAATGCCTGGAGAACACAAGCATGCTTTTGTTTGATGTGCCTCTTCCACTTTTCCAAGGGTTTTTTTTTTTTTTTTTTTGCCTTTGACATGACCAGCAGAATGCCTGTTATTTTGATTGGATATGGGGGGAAAGGAGAGAGAGAGAGAGAGAGAGAGAGAGAGAGAGAGAGAGAGAGAGAGAAGTGCCAATCATTCTCAAAGTAAAGAGTACAGAAGAGATATATTGTCATCCCCAACACACACACACACATACTCACACAGAGGCATGGGTCAATGAAGTCTTGTGGGTTGCCTTGTGTCAAAACAGCAGACTTCACCACCCGCACAGTGGTGTGCCCAGTGAAGCCATTCTTGTCCATAAGAATGAATGGAAAGCATGTGTGGAATAAGATAAACTAAATGGGCCATATGGGAGCAATGCTGGGTCATGAGCCAAACCTATTCCTGATATCCTATTTGGGGGGGTGGGGGACTATTTAGCATTAAGTCAGGTTTTGCCCCCACCTGAACTTATCCCCATTTACATTTTTGATGTTATGTATGTATGCTAAAAATTTTATCCTGCCAAGCTAGGCAGACAGCTAGTTGTGGTCACTCATGGACCTCAAAGGCTTTCTTTGAGCTATATGGGAGAAAGCTATCAGGCTGCATTCAGGAAAACACCTGAACAGAGAGATACCATGGCACCCTCTGGATGCTTTTGAGTACAGCTCAAATCATCCCCAATCACTTGCCATGCTAGTTGGGAAAGATGGAAGCCGTCACGGAAAACATCTAGAGAACTCCACATTGGAAAAGGCTGATCCAAAGTTGTTTCATGACAGAGAGAGGAGAATTGCTGAGTCAGAAGCAGCATGTGATATGCGTGCGCCCTTTGTTCAGGGAGCAAGGCTGCCCAAAGCAAACTCAGCCAAAAAAGGGCTCCTTCTTCTGTGATGGGCCATGCACTCAGGCGTACACATATGCATGCGCACACGCACACACACAGCCATGCATAACGAGAAAGAAGTGTTTTGGAACGTAAGTCTCTGAATCTCAGTGGCAAGTTGGAATGAGCCAGAATAACGCATGCACACTATCCTGACACATGAGTAGCCTCCCTTTCTTCTGCAGCTTCTCCTCTGCCCTCCCCTCTCCCTCTCCGTTAAACCACACTGTCTGGCTTCTGCTGTTCACACGCTGCAGCTATAGGCATCTTTGAACAGAAAGATCAAGGATAAGAGGAAGCACTAAGCAAACACACAGAAGCAGGCCCTTTGGAAAGTTCTGCAGCTCCATGACGGAGCTCAAGATTTACATGCCCAAGGTCCCAAGCTCAATACCCACCATCACCAGGGAGGGTGGAAAAACTTCTGAAACCCTGGAGAGCTACTGCCAGTCTGTCGACAATACCAGGGTAGAGCGACTGACTCTCTGCCTTAACGCAGCACAACAAACAACCCTTTGTTGCCACCATGGTTTGTGGGTTTTTACCTTGATCTACCTGACAGACAATCAAGCTGTTTATCAGAGTTTCCATCCTCCCCACTCAGTTCTCCTCCCACTGTTGGCATATATCCCCTCTGCCAGTCTGCCTGAACTTCAATCCCAAGGTACGTCACTCCTTGTTTATGTTGCCTTCCGCTTCCTCAGTGACCCATACAAAGAGACTGGATGACTGGTGTGGCTGCTGCCGTTGCTGCTCTTTCCAGGGGCCTCTGTAGCAGTTGCACACCAGGACTATAGAAACCATGATGTTTGGTTCAGACAATACAACAAGCCATGGTGCTATGGAAAAGCCATGGAACAAACCATTGCTTCTAATACTGATTTCTAAAGACCAAAATTTCCATACTGAAATTCCATGCCTGGATCCATGCCACATGACAAACCAACAGACCATGGTTTGCCATTTTGTCTGAACATAGCCCATGTGTACATGCAGCAGAATGGGAGAACCTCAGCTGCTGTCGGGTTAGACAGACAAGCACTCAAGATGCTTTCAAGGGGTTGACTTGCTTAGCATGAGACAATGAATGCTGGACCGGCTGTTTGGGGGCAGGCTTTTACAATTTTAAAAAAGTGTTGCCACTGTCCATAGTAAAGGTGAAGCTCTCAGCAGCCCAAACTAGTGCCTGCCAGATCTGTTGGACTAAATCTGCAACAGTCAAACAGTGTTCCCCAGAACTCCAGGGTTCTGTAAGAATCATCCAGGGGTTTCCTCCTATGATTAGAGTGAAACCATGAGATCTCCATTCCTTTTCTTTTGTTTAAAAGAGAAAATTCTGCAGCCAGGCATGGTCTAATTCAGAGCCCGTACACACTTACTTTGAAAAGCAGATTAATTTGTTTTAAAGCCAAAGTGGTTCCATTCAAGTGGATTCAGATGCAAAGAATAATGATCACACAGGTTTAACACAGGAATAACATGGATGCAGAACCAGAAACGTGGTTGCAGCTGTCATAGAAACATAGAAACAGAGCGAGTCAGAATGGGCTTCCTGGGCCATCTAGTCTGACCTATAACACCAAATTTTGATTTTCTTTGTGGCAAAAACCAAGTCCATCCAAGTTATTAAAAGGAAGTACAATTTTTCATATTATTAGTTAGTGATGTTATACTAAATGTTAGTATGTATTCATTAAATTTAGTATTATTTAGTTAATAAGTAACCAATGGGTTCTTTGATGTATTTATAAATAGTTTTTGTTTACATTGTATGAAATGTATTATGACAACAGTAATTGTAACACTTTGTTCAACTAAAACCTATTACCTGAAATGTATTTTTGAATGGGTTCTGTACTGATTTTTCACAATGACAAGGGATCCTCAGATGTCGCAAGTTTGAAGACCACTGAACTAAGTTCCCATCTTCCCCAGCCACTGTGGCCAATAGCAGCAAGGGGCTGAGATGGGAGGAGGAGTTAATCCAACATGTTAGGAGTATACCTGGATGGGGAAAACTGCTCCTGGCCGCTTTGCCTGGGGCAGAAAGCTCAGGAGAATGGTGCCACTCAGTATAAGTTAGCTGCCTATGTTCCAATCAATACAATGGCAAAGGTGACCACCAAAGGCTCTGGGG